GCTCAAGCAATCTTCCCACTTCAGCCTCCAGAGTAGCTGGGACTACAGGCCTGCACCACCACACCCAGCTAATTTTTTTATTTTTTATAGACAGACTGGCTAATTTTTGCATGTTTTGTACAGACAGAGGGATTTTGCCATGTTGCCTAAACTGCTCTTGAACTCCTGAGCTCAAGCAATCTTCCCACCTTGGCCTCCCAAAGTGTTGTGATCACAGGCATGAGCCACCATGCCCAGTCTCACAGCCCATATTTTTAAAAATCTTTTGTTTTGACTTTCTCATACAACTTGTTTTTGGTGCTTATGGTAGATAATTGTAGTTGGCTCTATCAACTTTTATTCTACATTCCCTGTGGTGCAAGAGCTAGAAAGCAGAAAACTTTATTTTCTAGACTCCCTTCCAACTAGATTTGCAAAGTGAACTTAAGAGAAGCAAGGCTGGGGAGATCTGAGTGCTTCGAAGTAGTCATAGCAGCCAGACCAGAGGTCCAGGGCCCAGTCACCAGCTTCATGGCTGAAGCAGGTAGTGGGGGCCAAAGTCATACCTGCTCTCTGAGAGCCATGGGCTTCTTATGAAGAGCTGCTACTACTCTATTGCAGAAGTATTACAGGATGAAAGACAGGCTGAAATTGGAACCAAATTTGGACAAGGTCCCATTTCACCTCTGGTTTGCTCTATGGCTTTCTGCAAATCATTTCATCTCTCTGTGCACTGATCTTTACTCTTTCATTAACAAGAGCAACACCAAGGACTCTCCTTGTAGATTGCCCCTAAAGATGAATAAAATACTAGAAAACACGATTATACTTCTTTTTAAAGAGGGATAAAAGTTCTGACAGTATCACATAGGCCGCTTCTCCAGAGTGGCATTCATTTACTCCAAGCACTTTGGAACAAGGGATACATTCCTGAATGTGCTGGGGAGGTGGCCATTGAACAGCATCTATCTTCTGTTTCATGTGGTTTCTATTTATTTACAGAGTGCCATGGTTATTCATGATGTTTTACAAACCATAAAAACAAGGTCTCCACCCTATAGAAGTTACAGTGTAATTCAAACAGACATGCTGCATGGGCTGACAGGTCAGGCGTGCCAGAAGATGGTGTTGGTGTTGTATAACATGGGTGTGGAGGGGTTCTTCTTGAGTTATAAATACTTTCCAGTTACAAGGGCCTTTCATCTGGGATCCCCAAGCACTTTAGAATAGCAATAACCTGGATTGCTTTCTAAATGTACTTTCTATAAACTGTTGTGGGGACTGAGTAAATGCTTTTAAATGACTATTAATTGATCTGTGGATCTGTTCATTGTCCATATTAAACAGCATAGATGTAAACACCACGGTTTAGGAGAGGCCCACTTTAGGCTGTGGTCTGGCTGCTTACAGATTACTGCTGCCCCAGAGACCTGGAGGGCTTGTCACAGCCTTGGGAGGGTCAGGTGAACCCCTAGGCATTTTCCTAGGTAATATGCTCACTCAACCCAGACTCACAAAGAGCACTTCTTGGGGCCCTGGTTCACTATGTATAGATGAGTTAACATTTCAAAGTCAGGTGAGTTCAGAGAAAGAGTCTCCACTGGAGAAACTTGGAGCCTTCCCTTGGCTAACGATAGTGGTTCTCATTCAGGTCCCAAGGGCTCCATTAAGTTCCTCTTATGCTACTTTTCTCTCTTTCTTGAGCAATGGCACTTTCAAAACAGCAAGATTTATCTTTCTTTGCAGCTGGTATAGAGTTTCCCCTTCTGTCTTATTCAAAGACCACTTAGCTGGTGATTTTTGCTGACCTATTTGACAAGTTCATTCATATCCAAGAGAAGACTGGCCCGGGTTGCAAGTCTTGAAAGTTCACCCAGAGGTTGATGAGATAAGGATTCTTCTTTCTATCCATCCTTTATAAACTTCTCAGGGTTATCTTTCTAAAAACCCAGATGGAATCATATCACCCACCTGCTTTAATAAAACCTACCTGGGGGTGCAAAGGACTCACACCTGTAATACCAAGGTAACAAGGGCAACACCAAGGACTCTCCTTACAGATTGCCCCTAAAGATGAATAAAATTCTAGAAAACACAATTACATTTCCTTTTAAAGAGGGATAAAGGTTCTGACAGTATCACATAGGCTGCTTCTCCAGAGTGGCATTCATTTACTCCAAGCACTTTGGAACAAGGGATACATTCCTGAATGTGCTGGGGAGGTGGCCATTGAACAGCATCTATCTTCTGTTTCATGTGGTTTCTATTTGGGAAGCTGAGGCAGGAGGATCACTTGAGCCCAGAAGTTCAAGACCATCCTGGGCAATGTAAAAAACAAAACAACAACAACAACAACAAACCTACCTGAAGATTAAAATCCAAAATGCTTCAGCACAGTGTATATAGCCTTCATGGCCTTGGCCAGCTGACCTCTGTCCTTACATCTCTGTCCACATGGCCTGCAGTTTTGTTTTCTTTTTTGTTTTTATTTTTGTTTTGAGATGGAGTCTCACTCTGTCGCCCAGGCTGGAGTGCAATGGCACAATTTTGGCTCACTGTAAACCTCCTCCTCCCAGGTTCAAGTGATTATCTTGCCTCAGCCTTCTGAGTAGCTGGGATTACAGGCATGTGCCACCACACCCAGCTAATTTTTGTATTTTTAGTAGAGACGGGGTTTCACCGTATTGGCCAGGCTGGTCTCGAACTCCTGACCTTGTGATCCGCCCACCTCAGCCTCCCAAAGTGCTAGGATTACAGGTGTGAGCCACAGCGCCTGGCCTGTTTTTTTGTCTTATTGTTTTTTGAGATGGAGTTTCACTCTTGTCGTCCAGGCTGGAATGCAATGGCGCAATCTCAGCTCATTGCAACGTCCGCCTCCTGGGTACAAGCAGTTCTCCAGCCTTGTCTCCTGAGTAGCTGGGATTACAGGCATGCATTATCACACCCAGCTAATTTTGTATTTTTAGTAAAGACAGGGTCTCACCATGTTGGCCAGGCTGGTCTCGAACTCCTGACCTCAGGTGATCCACCCACCTCAGCCTCCCAAAGTGCTGGGATTACAGGAGTGAGCCACCGCTCCTGGCTGACCTGCAGGTTTGATCACAACAGAGAAATCACTCCTTCCCCAGAGACCTCAAACTTTCCTGTCCCTGCCTCCTGCAATATCCTCTTTCATCTTCCCTCCTCACCATTCTCTCACATCTTCCCAGTGAACTGCTGTTTCCCAAAGCCCACCTCTAAACCTCCTCATCTTGGCACCCTTCCACAATGCCTGCCACCATCCATTCCCCGCTCTCCCCAGGCACATGCCTTCACCTCTTTTCCTAGAGCACCTACTTCACTCTACCTCCATTAACACAGCTGTCATGTCATATTTCAGGTATCAGGACCGCCTGGAGTTCAGGGATCGTGTCTGGAATATAGTAATCTCTCAACAAAGTTTTGTTTAAGGGCTCTTTTTGCACTTCAAAGGGATAGGGAAGGGGAAGGGAGGGAGCAACCGTAGCCTAAGACCTCAGAAACTATTTGGAACCCTGGGTTTCTTGGATTTTATCTCACCTACTGTGAGGCGGTCACTTCATGATAATACTGACCAATCGGTTTTCAGATTATAAAGCCCTGAATTCAGTGTTTTCTTTTTTATGTTTTGGCTGGAGTGTAGTGGTGCCATCTCGGCTCATTGCAACCTCCACCTCCCAGGTTCAAGCAATTCTTGCACCTCAGCCTCCCAAGCAGTTGGGATTACAGGTGCACACCACCATGCCTGGCTAATTTTTGTGTTTTTAATAGAGACGGGGTTTCACCATGTTGGGCAGGCTGTTCTCAAACTCCTGACCTCAAGTGATCCACCTGCCTTGGCCTCCCAAAGTGCTAGGATTACAGGCATGAGCCACCACAGCCAGCCGGAAAAAAATTTTAATTGTAGTAAAATATATGTAACATAAATTTATTTTCTGTTTTAGAGATGAGATCTCACAATGTCACTAAGGCTGATCTCAAACTCGTGGGCCCAAGGGATCTTCTTGTCTCAGCCTCCAGAGTAGCCGGGATTACAGGTGTGTGCCACTGCACTGGCTCAAGTGGACCATTTCAACATTTTTAAGTTGACAGTTCATTGATGTTAAGCACATTCATATTGTTGTGAATCCAGCTTTAGAACTTTTTCATCTTCTCATACTGAAACTCTGTACCCACTACACAGTGATGCTCCATTCCCCTCTCCCTGCCAGCCCGTCAATCACCATTCAACCTTCCGTCTCTATGAATCAGACCACTCTAGGTACTTCACATAAGTGAAATCATACAATGTTTGTTCTTTCATGATTGGCTTACTTTGTTTAGGGTAATGTCTTCAAGGTTTATGGATGTTGTAGCATGTGTCTGAATTTCCTTCCTTTTTTTTTTTTTTTTTTTTGAGATGGAGTCTCAACTCTGTTGCCCAGGCTGGAATGCAGTGGCACGATCTCAGCTCACTGCAAACTCCACTTCCCAGGTTCAAGCGATTCTCCTGCCTCAGCCTCCCAAGTAGTTGGGTCTCGAACTCCTGACCTCAGGTGATCCGCCCGCCTCGGCCTCCCAAAGTGCTGGGATTACAGGCGTGAGCCATGGTGCCCGACTGAATTTCCTTCCTTCTTAAGGCTGAGTAATACTACATTGTATGCATATGCTACATTTTGTTGATTCATTCATCTGTCAATGGGCACTTGAGTTACTTCCACCTTTTGACTCTTATAAACAATTTTGCTCTGCGTATGAGTATACAAATATCTCTTTGAGACCCTGCTTTCACTTCCTTTGGGTATATAGACCCAGAAGTGGAATTACTGGTGGTATGGTAATTCTGTTTAATTTTCTTAGAAATCGTCATACCATTTTCTACAGAGGCTGTGCCATTTTGCATTTCCAACAGCAATGCACAAGGTTTTCAATTTCTCCATATTTTCACCAATACTTGTTATTTTCTGTTTTTGTTTTTGTTTTAAATAATAGCCATCTTAGTAGGTGGGAAGTGGTTTCTCATTGTGGTTTTGATTAAATTCTGTTTCGAGCCTCTGCATTCACTCATTCGCTGTCTTGATTCCCTATAATAAATCCTATTTTATTTTACAACAGAACCTCTGTTTCTTTCTCAGGAGACTTGAGCTTGGTTGAGGGGAAAGTGCCACATAAGAAGATCAAAAAGGTAAGTGGGCTTGTAGCCCATTGTGCTTCTTCACACAGGCCAGCAGGGGGCACTCCCACAAGACTGCCCGGGTAGTTTAGCTGACCGCTAACAGGCAGTTTGCTTTTCAAGGCTTGAGCAGGTTCCTAGATCCCCAGCAAAGCGGTCTTTTTGTTTCCTGACCCTCTTCCCTCCTGTCTGTGCTCATCACAATGTGACCGTCAAAGAGACCCAAGCATCCCAGGCTACACAGTGCTTCTCAAAGCGGGTGCTCCTGGCATTCTAGTGGGACAGTTCATCACTATGTGGGAATTTCACGCAATGTAGAACATTTAGCATCTGGGGCCTCTGCTTGCTCAATGCCAGCAGGACCCCCAATCATTGCAACAACCAAAATGTCCCCCACCCACATTTCCAGAGCACCCCCATCTGGGGATAGGTTGCCCAGTTGAAAACCAGGTATGCAAAGGAAGCTAGAGAATCCCAGTATCTCCCGCTCAGGCAAAGCAGCAACTACCATAATGAGGTCTCGTGTCCAGTCAAGGGGATGATGGAGCTCAGCCAAGGAAAAAGTCACAGGTGGTTTTAGGTGACCTAGATGACACCCTGGCTCTGTTAATGGTTAGTTGACAGTGACAGGCTCACATATCAGGAGAGAGGGAAAGACGCTTTCTAAAAACAAGATGACAACAATAACAGAAAAAGTACCCCAACAAGGCCCCCACCCCGTGCAAATGAGACTTGCAACCTGAGCGTGGTCCCTTCAGTGTCCATTTGATCCCCACCCCCATCCCCGGGGACTGCACACTGCACCCGGCACCTCTCTGCCTTGCCTGGGTTAGTTTAAGGGACTTCATTTCCCGGTGCTGCCATAGCAACCAGGAAACAACCTCCACTCAGACAAGAAGGATGGTGCTGTGGCCGAGCTCTGTAGATGCACACGGCTGGTAACAGAGCAACCGGGACCAAGGGACAACAAGAGCTCAGGAGAAGGGGAGAGACAGGTCGCCCAGAGAGTAGACAATCCAGGGCTTGAGGAGGCTGACTGTGCGGTTTATTTTTTCTCTCCACAAAGACACACACTGTCTAAACTGTGTGACTGGTTGTTATTAAGAAGCTGCTGCGAGAGGGAAAAATGTATTTAATAAAAGGCCCTGTGTTTGTGGTCTTCTTGGGCTTGCTGTGAGCTCTGGAAATCTTGAGGTGTGACCAGATTTCAGCCTTCAGAACCAAGATGGACTGCCCTTGAGAAGGGGTGGTCAGAGGCAAACATGTTCACGCTCTCCCTCCTGAGTCGGGGCCACGGGAAGCTGGGCCAGGACAAACAGAAGTTAGAAGTCTACTTTGAACCAGAGGTGAGTCTCACAGCTGAAGAAAGGCACATTTTGGAGGTGGGAGAGGAATGCTCTATGTTTCCACTTGGGAGGTAAACCATGTGTGTCTTGGTTTGTGTTGTTAGTGAGGTGGCGGGGTCACTGGAAGATGGTCCTTCCTCCTTTATGAAACTCAAGAAAATAACGCCGTTTTCCTGACACACCGAGATTGCCACTGGGGCCCTCATCTTTCCCCTTTGCTTGGACCAAAGGAGATTCCAGATTGTCTGGAATTTGGATGGTTTGGTGCAAGACCAGAATTTCCACCTGGGTTCCAGGCAAACTGATGGTTGTTTGGTTTTTGGAAGTCATGCTCTGCGGTTGAAATGCTGTGTGTGTTCATGCCATGTCAATGGCTTCCTTGAACTTTCTGGAATTCAACCCACAGGACTCATATTTAATATAGGCCAAAAAAAGCCCACTCATTTTAGAAGATTTTAAAGAGGTGGCAAAATTCCCTTGTTATACTAGATTTTTATTTCACTGAATCCTGCCAGGAATAAGAAATCTATTGGGGATACTTTGCAAATTTGGGGGTCATACAGAGATTTCCATTGTCATGGTACTTTGTCATGATATTTGACCTTTGCTGTGTTAAAAAGCGTATAAAGTTTCAAAGGACCTGTATGGCCAATGGCATTTACTTACCTACAAAATATGTAACCACTTTATAGGCCCCTAAATAGCCAAATTAGGTAATGTTGCATAGCATCTGGAATGTATAGAAATTCTCCCCACGTACAGCTGAAGTGGTGGTGGCTTGGAATGCTCCTATTTCAACTGCCAGCTAGTCCAGGTCTAATTTCAAAGTTATCTGCTGCCCTTAATAATTCTGACCGCTTACTTGCATACCAGGAAACTTTAACTGGCCTGTAACCTACACGCAAGCTAAGTTAATCCTCCGGCCATACATGACTCTCCTGAAAGTTGTATGGGGTGAAACAGAACCGTGCCCTGGGTTCCACTAATTTTGAAATGTGGAGAGAAGAGGCAGTTGCTAAGAAGAGCAATTGTGTTCCATAACACTGTGTGAACAATTCAGAGAAAATCAGTAACAAAAAAAATGCCGGAGGCTTTGCACAAGCAGTATTTGCAATAGAAAAGTCTTCCACAGTGGCTCTGTCAAAGTGGCTGCTTTTCATTGCAGGATTACTTGAACTGGAGGTCCCCAGAAGACTACGTTCCTGTCAGCAAACCTCAAGATGAGAACAATGCCAACCAGCACTCTTGGAGCCTCTTTCTCCCTAAAACTTTCAGCACTAGAAAGGGTGCCCTGATCCTCTACTCAGAAGGTTTAGCCATTTCGGCATGGGCACCCAAAGAGAGGAGAAAAGGCCCCTACTGCCCCAAAGGTCCCTGGAGGAAGCTGGATCTTGAACTGCACACACTTCAAGACCTCAAAGAAGCCATCCTGGCATATGGAAGGCAACAGGTAGGCAGAGCACTCCCTCGGGTTTGGGGAAGGTGCTGGCAACATGTCTAGAAACCCAGGTGCAGCTTTGGGAATAACTTCTTGGACCCGGGGAAGGTATGAAACTCTCAGACCTCTGTTTCTTCGTCTCTAAAATGAGGTTGACTGTACTCCTAGCCCTATCTGCTGCACACCATTGTCACGAAGTTTAAATGAGATAATGTATGTGAAAGGGTTCTGAAAAGCATAAAGGGCTACATTATCATCATTTTGTGTTTTCCTTTCAGTTAGAGTAACACAAAGTCCTTTTCAGCATTCCGACAGATTCAGGCCAGCAGACGTTTCATCGGGATCCTTGAAATCCTGTCTCGTAGCCATAAGCATCATCATCCCACCTCTGATGTTCTTGGCTCTGTGGAAATGAGAGGGAGAACATTTTAAATATTTACCTTGAGCCCTTCAGCGTCTGCAGGATAAGTTAATGACTTTTTCCATCCTGAATATAATATTAAGGGAAAACGCCTGTGCTCATTTTTCTGATTCATACTTCCTAATGTCTTGTGAGATGTGCACCTGGCCACTGCTTTATACAATTGCATGCATCAGCCCTTTGGCTGAGGCCATAAGATAGTCTGGGAAGATGTGTCACTTTGTAAAATTCTAGGTTAGAAATGGTGGGTGACTCCCTAATTTAAAAGTGTCTACTGACTTTTCATTCCCACAAAATAGTCATCAGCTTCTTCTATCAGGCCCTTCACACACTGGCTTTTCTGCTCAATGTCTACCCACATTTCCCACCTGTTCCTGTACCACTTCAATCATGGATGCCATAAGGCCCCACCCATGTGATTAGCTCATCATTCTTCAACACCTGTGCCCTGTCATGACTCTCCATTTTTGCACACACTTCTACAGCTGGCAAGCTCCCACCCATCCTTCAAACACAACTTAAATACCATCTCCTCACTGAAGCCTTCTCCCACTTGCCTAGGCAGAGACAGACCATGCCTCCCTCCTCTGCAAATATTCCCATACCATCATCATGCACTGAGATTTATCTCTTTGACTGTCTGTCATTCCTGATGGATTAACATCTCTTCCCATCTGGGGACCATGTCTAAATCATTTCCAGAAAGAGTACCCACAAATGTTTGTGGAATAAATGACTTGGTCATGCATGATATTTTCAATGTTTCTTAGATCATCTCCTAGAATCATTGTTGGACAATTTATCACTACCCCCATGCCAGGCAGAGCTTCCAAAAGAAAAAACTCCTCTGCCCTCTTTTCATCTTTCAAAATAGAGAAGCTTGATGACCTTGGCCGAATACCCAATGATCTTTGCCTTAAAAATAATAAATTCTTGAATAAAAGAAAAACAATTATTGAATGCTTACTGTTGCGTTATAGCTAAATATTATTTTATTTAATCCTTACAATGACCCTGTTCAATATAGTTTTTCTTGCCTCCTTTTATAGATGAGGAAACCAAAGCTCAGGGTAGATAAGTGATTTGCCCAAGGCCAGAGAGCTACTAAATGACAAAGCCAGAATTCAAATCCAGGACTGCCTACCTCACTAGGGCCTGCATACTTTGCACTCTGCCCTGTTGTTTGTGGACTTGAAGGGACTCCAGTGGTCATTGTGCCTGGTCGTGACCTGTTTGTCTCAGATTCCCTCTGTTCCCTTCCCCTGCTCAGCTCTGCATCGCAGGCAGGTTGACCACAGGCTATATACAATTCCGCAAACATCTGTGTTCACTGGCTTCTGGTTGAATTTGCCAATGGGAGACACTGAAAAGAGATTGGAGAGGGATAAGAAGAGGAAGACCACATTATTTCTCCCTTCCCACTCTGCCTCAGGTGAAAAGAAGCATCTGCATTACCCTGTGATGCAGCTCTCAACAGACAGGCCCACTGTGACCCCCGACTCCTCCAGATGACCCCACCAGCTCCTCCCTCTGTCCTTCTAGCTGAAGTGTGGTGCTGACTTCCTGATGTTACTGATCTCAATGTTGCCCCCCCGCCCCCATCTGTTTGGCTTCTGAGCTCTCCAATCAACTGTACAACCAATTCCCTAAATTAAATTCCTTCTGTGTTTACTTAGTTTCTATTTTCTTGGTTGGACACTGAGTGATATATAGGCTAACTTACTGCCCAGAGTAAGAATACCTTCCATCGTTTTCAGATGCTTGTCTATAAGGCTAAATACTTCAGGTAACAGATATCTTATTAGTTTATAAAGTAGATGAGTCAGTTTGGGTCAGTTTCATTTTTGGTTATATTTGGTGTCAATGAAACAAAGAAGTTACTATCTCCCTGTGATATCCATCTTCTAAATTTATAGCTCATATCTGTACAAAACAGAATATGTAGTTTAACTCCACATGAACAGAGGGAAATGGTGTGAAGAAATTAGAGAAAAGAAAACGTATGGGAGAGTACAGCGCTGGAGTTTAAGATTAAAGGACATAGTAGATTAAAAGAGGAGGGGAAGCAACTCAAAAGGGACTTAGAATTAAAGAAAAAGAACACACCGGGTGCAGTGGCTCATACCTGTAATCCAGCACTTTGGGAACCAGAGGCAGGAGAACTGCTTGAGCCCAGGAGATCAAGACCATCCTGGGCAACATAGTGAGACCCTGTTTCTATCAAAATAAAAATAATGAAAATTATTTTAAAAAAAGAAAAGAAACACCTCAGAAGCTTTGGAAAATAGAGAGTACCATCTGACTATGAAAACAACAGCCTGGCAAGAAACTTTTAAAATCATAATACCCAGTGCCAGGACAGCTATAGGGAAACAGCAGTCTCACATGTTAGAAGTACAAATTCACATGACATTTCTGGAGGGCAACTTGGCAAAGCCTAAAAGGGGCTGATACCTTTTGATTCAACATTCTACTTTTAGGAGCTGGCCCTAGGACATAATCAGATATAGGTTCAAAGATTTATGCAGAAAAACATGGACTACAGGGTTCTTTACCATGCAAAACACTGAAAACAGTATATGCCCAGCAACGGAACACTGATTAAATGAACTCTGGTAAATCATGTAATGACCTGGGTCAAGCAATGAAGTCATGTGTTAGTCATGAATAACATGAGAAAATCTGCACAATGTTTTTCATTTGTTTTGTTTTGAGACAGGGTCTCCTCTGTTACCCAGGCTGGAATGCAGTGGCATGATCACAGCACACTACAGCCTCAAACTGCCAGGTTCAAGTGATCCTCCCATCTCAGCCTCCCAGGTAGCTGGGACTGCTGCCTCACGTCACCATGCCAGGCCAACTTTTTGTATTTTTGTAGAGATGGGGTTTAGCTCTGTTGCCCAAGTGGTCTCGAACTCCTAGTTTCAAGTAATCCACTGACCTTGGCCTCCCAAAGTGCTGGGATTACAGATGTGAGCCACCATGCCTGACCCGGAATTTATTTTTTAAAAGCAGATTACAAAAAATGTATCCATATAATAAAAATACCAATTTCATTAACCTTTTTTGAGTAGTTATGGTATTTTTGCCACTATTCTAAGTGCTTTCCAAGTATAACTCATTTATGCTTTCTAATAATCCTGGGAGTAAGTACTATTATTATCCACTTTAAAGGTGAGGAAATAGAAGCACAGAGAGTTTGAGTGACTCACTCAAAGTTATACAGCCAAGTAAATCACTGCACCAGAATGTGAGATTAGGCCACATAGAAAACATCACCTCTCTAATATAATTCTGATTTTTAAAAAGTGATTATTGACCAGGTGTGGTGGCTCACACCTGTAATCCCAGCACTTTGGGAGGCCAAGGCGGGTAGATCATCTGAGGTCAGGAGTTTGAGACCAGCCTGGTTAACATGGGGAAACCCAGTTTCTACTAAAAATACAAAAACTTAGCTGGGCATGGTGGTACACACCTGTAATCCCAGCTACTGGAGACTGAGGCAGGAGAACTGCTTGAACCCGGGAGGCAGAAGTTGCAGTCAACCGAGATGGCACCATTGCACTCCAGTTTGGGCAACAAGAGTGAAACTCTGTCTCAAAAAACAAAATTGATTATATATCCACCAAAGGATATCCACCCAAATTTCAACTGTGGCATAAACCATGGGTTGTGGGATTATAAACCATATATTAATGTATACATTTCTTTCTACCAAATATATTTTTTAAACTATGGGATTTTACAAATAAAATAAAAATCTATAGCTTTGAAAGAGGTAGACAGTTGACCCTAGAGATCAAGATGAGAGGCTTCGGGGAGGAAAATGGAATGGCAAAAAGTGCTGCAAATTGAGTCCACCAATAACCACAACATCTGTCCATTAGGGTGAGTATTTCTTTGTCCAAATACGATAGTTCAGGAGTTTAAAACACTACACTCAAAGTCAAAGAGCCAAAGTAAGGATCGAAAATGGGGTAGAGTAATAGTGCTGCTTACGGAAGGATCTGTTCTTGGCTGGACTGTGTATCAAGAAACCTGCATGACTCAGGCCCCACCCAGACCTGTAAGAATGAAGCCTGTTGCAGAAAGGTGAAAGTCAAGGTTTAAAGCATCTCACAGCACCTCCAGCTCTCTGGATCTGACAGCACACATGTGGCAACCCGTCTGGAGTTTATAGCTCAGCCTACATCCACCCTTGAACTTTCTTGATGGCCCAACTCCTAATGGGTAAAGATAAATGTTAAGTCAAGAAATCAGAGGTCAGCATTCTTAGACTTCTGGATACACACAGATATGTTGCTTGGTTGGTTTTTCGTTGTTGTTTTTTAACAGAAGGAAATCTTGTTTAGCGTTTCTAAAGTTGAAACCATTCTTCTTGAGGCCTTTAATTTATTCAGCTTCCCATTATTGAGACATCAAATAGCTATAAAACCTAAGTAATCATAATTTGGGGTAGGATAAATACCAACAATGAGACATTGATTAAATAATGTATCTAAAATAATGTGTTTTAAAATTCAGTTCACAGGACATGCCACTTCTCTGTTCCATTGAGAGACAAACAGGATTTAGATAACTATAGCAGATT